CATTTTTTTTTGTTTTGGCGTTTTTTTGGTGGTTTACCCATTGGTTTTGGAGTAGGCGCTTTGGGAAAGGGACGGGAAAGGAAGGGGAGGGGGGGAGTAGTGTTTTTTGGCGAGCTTCAGGTGTTGATGGGCAGGTGGTGGTAGAGTACGTCATGCATTCAAGGTGTGTGGGGGGGGGGTGGGTAGCCAGTGCGTAACGATGCTCCCTCGGCCACCCAACCTCTGACCTGCGGTTGTACAACGAGAACCCTACAATAGAATAGCAGCAATGACAAACGTCAACGTGTTACAGTGAGAAAACGATAACCATAAACGACAACGTCAACGCGCAGGCAAGCCGCTGAGTTCGTGGCTGCGTCCGGCGGCCGCCAGGATAACGGTGGCTCGCTGCTGCCGCCACCGCCGCGTGACACTTCTCCCAAGGCCGGAGGCGGCAGCATCCTGGACGATGAGTCGGAGGGGGCGGGGGGTGACGGCATTCCCGCAGAGTCGGAGCTGGCGGACGCGATGGCCGGGGTGGACTTGGACGAAACGAAGTTCAGCAAGGTGAGAGAGAGTGTTTTTGTGTTTGTTGCTGCTACAGGTAGCGGCCACAATGAAGAACCTCTGTTATAGTTTTGGCGGAGTCTGGGATTCTTAGTTCCTCTTGTGGGCTACAAATGGCCGCTGCTACGTGTAATCGTTAACCGGGCTCGCAATCGATACAGTGTTGTCAATGTTGAGCATGAACTTCTTAAGCACGGGCGCTATCTGTATGGAATGAATAGCGATCCGTTTTTTGAGTACTGAGTACTGCTGTTGCGTATTTATCTCTCCGAGGGGTGTGTCGATCTGTGTCTCACCTAAGAATGTGGAGGTAAGTCTATAGTCCGCGTTGCGCCTTATACCAAGACATGTGCTCCACCTCGCCCAAATTGTTTCTGGCTCATGGCCCACCTTGTCTCCGAGAGGTGGATGTACCGATGGGCTCACTGCGACACTTATGGTATCCTTGGAGGAATTACAGTAGCAACGTGATTGTGATCCAAAGCTCTACTCCCCCCTCCCTGCAGAAGCAAGGCTTGCCCCTCGAGGATTGGCCAACCTCTAAACCCTCTCGTTTCCCCGCCGACGCTAAGATAAACGTCCCGTTCTAATGATGCCGCTCTTCCTGCTTTCATTCCCGCGATACAAGAACGAACCAAGTTCTAACACAACCGCCCCAACCACACACGTTGCCATAACAACAAAGCCTGGCGGCAGCAGCAGCGGCGGTTTGTTCTCCGGAGCACCACCTGGCGCTGTTGGAGGCGGCGCCGGGGGGGGGGGGGGGTCGAACGGCCAGCCCCTAACCAAAGAGGCGGAAGCGGTGATCAAGAGGTCTCTGCTCGTGGGTAACTTCGAGGCGGCCGTGCAGTGCTGCATGTCCACGGGGAACATGGCGGACGCCATGCTGTTGGCCAGGTGCGTGAGCACGCCAGTGCGTGCGCCTGTTGGATGCGTCGGCGGGATGGGTTGGTCTTGTGGTCTTGAGATGGATTGGGTTTTCGATTGTTTTTTTTTGCTGTTTTTTGTCCTCTTTTTTGTTTGTTTCGACCCACGGTCACGTGGACGTTGACGTTAATGGGTTTGGTGGTATTTCGTGTGGGGCGAGCCTTTGTTTTTCCGCGTGTTGTACGCCTGCCGTCATCAACCATTCCGTCGCGCATTCGTCTGTTGGCATTGTCGGACTGCCACAGCTTTCGAATGATCGTTCCACCAAAACATCAACAAGCAACAGCAGTTCCTTCCGTCGGTCAGAGAAACTCCCGACCCTTCCGTTATTTTTTTATGCAAAAGTGCTGTGATACTGCTATTGAGACGAAACCAAACCAAAACGAAAAATGTAACAAACGAAAAAAGACAAGCGAAGCGATACAGGCGACACGACACATGCGAAACGATACAAACGATACAAACCACATGGCGCATCCCAACTGACACGAACGGAACAGCTGCGGGGGCGCGGATCTGTGGGCCAAGACGCAAGCCCAGTACTTCGCGCGGGAGTCGCACCAGCGCCCCTTCCTCAAGGTGGTGAACGCCATCATCAAGTCCGAGCTGGGGGTCCTCGTGGAGGGGAGCGATCTCGGGCAGTGGCAGGAGACCCTGGCCATCCTGTCCACGTACGCCAAGCAGGTGGGCGAAACACGCATATTATATATATCACACCTGAGGTAGGGTTGAACGCGATTCATAGGAAATGGAACAAGAAGTGCTGCCCCGCGCATGGCGGCAGCACAACATGGATAGAAACGTCCGCCCCGACGAAATTGGTGAAAGCCCCCCACTGTGTCTCATCCACATCGATAGCATCCCCACTGTACCGGTACTGCTTGGCTGTCTGTTCCATGTTTGTTGAATACCGTTACTTGTCACGGCCGGCGTAACCGCTGAAATGGTTCATCAGGAGGAGTTCCCTACTCTCTGCGAGGCCTTGGCGTCGCGACTGGAGACCGAGGCCGGGGACCGGAAGTCGGCTAACCTCTGCTACATGTGAGGGCGTGAGGAGGGAGAGAGTTTGGTGGGCGAGAGGGGGGGGGGGGGGGGGCAAAAATTTTTTTTCCACAAAACCCCCCTTTGCAGTTTTGGATGCCGGGGGGCCCCCTCCGTTTTTAACCCGAAAAAAGGGGCCCAAATTTATTTATCCAGGACCCCCCGTTTGGGACCAAGGCTTACCCCTTCCCGGGGCCCAAATTTGCCCCTTGAAAAAAAAAACGGGGCCTTTTTTTTGGGGTCCAAAAAGGATTTGTCCCAACNNNNGCACACCATGGATAGAAACGTCCGCCCGGAGGAAATGGGGGAAAGCCCCCCACTGTGTTTCATCCACATGGATAGCATCCCCACTGTCCCGGTACTGTTGGGCTGTTTGTTCCATGTTTGTTGAATCCCGTTACTTGTCAGGGCGGGGGTAACCGTGGAAATGGTTCTTCGGGAGGATTTCCTTACTTTTTGGGGGCCTTGGGGGTCGGGACTGGAGACCGAGGCCGGGGACCGGAATTGGGTTAACTTTTGTTACATGTGAGGGCGTGAGGAGGGAGAGATTTTGGTGGGCGAGAGGGGGGGGGGGGGGGGCGAAGCATGTTGTTGCAGCAAACTCCAGCTTTGCAGTTTGGCATGCCGGGGTGCCACTGCAGTTTTACAGCTGAAAAAGCGGTCCGATATCTATCTATCGAGTACCTCCTGTTTGGTACCAGTGCTTACCCGTTCCAGTGGCACAAATTGGCATCGTGAATGAAGAGACGGGTCGTTTCTTGTGGTGTCAGAGATGGATTGATCCATACATCCCCGAAGGATTCATGTTGAGAAACTAGAAAGCGTATGGTGGCAGCACCCTGCTCGTGCCCCCCCTTTGATTGCGCACCCACCCACTTCACGCGCCGACTCGAAGATTGTACTTGTACGTAGATGAGGAAAAATATGTCCCAAAAGGCAACGTACGCAGGCAGCAGTGCCGCCGGCCATTCGACCCCTGGGGCACCACCATTCGACCCCAAACCCCTTTATGTGTCCATCACCCCGGGCTCTGCGGCGCGTCTCTCTAATTGGTCTACCAGGTGCGCTGTGAAGGTGCCCAAGACGGTGGAGATGTGGGCGGAGGAGCTCAAATCGGCCAACGCAGCCATCAACGGGGGCACGGACACGAAGGTGGGGGGGGTCAGGGGGGGGGGGGGGGGGGACCCCTTCCAAAAAAAAAAAAAATTTTTTTTGGGGGGGGCTGCTTTCCCGGGCCGGGCGGAACCCGGAGTAACCCCCCCGGGGGGGGGGGGGGAAAGGGCAAAACCCCGGGGGGGTTTTTCCCCCAAAGGAGCCCCCCGGGGGAACGCCGGGGCCCCCAGAAGCCCTGAAACCCGGGCCAAAAAGGGGAAAAAACCTGGCCCCAAGCCCCCCCCGGGGGGGAACCCTGCCAGGGTTTGTTTCCCCAACCAACCCCCTTTTTTTTGTGTTTTGGGGTTAAAGACGGGAAAGAAGCCTAAAAAAA